TACTGCGTTAGGGGTCGCCGCCCCTTCGTTTTTCCTGTGCAGCGATAGGTAGGTGGTCAGACAGCAGTGGCTACCGTCTTTCGTCTACCCACACCTTGCAGGATCACCTGTACAACATTCCGTCAATGTAGCAGCCTCCTCCGCGTCCTCGCCTCAGCGTGTGTGTTTGGCAGAACGCCTTTTTCCATGAGAAGGGGGAGGAGAGCGACATTCCCGCCCCTGAGTATTAAGTAAGGAGGAAGAGGTAGGAGAAGAGAAGTAGGAGATAGGAGATAGGAGACAGGAGATACTTAGAGCGACAGAGAGAGAGGACGGTGCTTACTCCAACGATGCTCTCAATAACGGTGCCAGCTGCTGCAGGGAAGCGTACTCTGAGAATATCAAGCCTGTGCAGTGCGTTGGTCGGAGGGCCATTCTCGGACAGGGGCATCGCCCGAACAACGCTCAACACTGCACCTATCCACGTGACACCGCTCTGTGATCTGTAGACAGGGAGCACAACAATGGCAAAGAGCTGGGTGTCATGCTGCATGGCGGTCACTCTTCTCGGTTCGTTGAGGGCAACGCCGCTGGGGGTAGGAGTTTGTCTGAGTTAGGCCAGAAGCTTTGACAACTTCTTGTTGTGGCTGGTGGCGCTGACGCTCTTCGCCGTCGAAGAGGGTTTGACGAGGGTCTGATGACACTGCGGCGGCTCACGGGTTGGGACAAGATCGACATGGTCTAGTCTGTGATGATGGAAACGAAGGGAGGCGCTGTTAGATGGAACGATAGGCCGTTGGTTGACGTGCCAAGGTTCTCTGCCGCGTGGGTGAGTCGAAAACGTAGCTACAGGTAGGTCTGGCCGGGTGTGGGAGTTCTGTTGACCCTTTGGGGTGTGTTTCTGCGACGTAGACCGTAAGTTGATGCTGTGTCTGTTTGACACAACTCGATTCTGGCTACGCTTCAAGATGACCAGATTCTGACACCCCGGCCTCGCGCCCCGCTCCGCTTCGATCAGTGCTCGGGTGCAATGCCGGGCGGTGAGACCTGATCGGTGTCTTTGGTCCCGTTTAATTGAAACCATGAAGAAGCGCCCACCGACGCGACCCTCCTCCCCCCGCCCCCTTATGCGAATATGGTGCAAGGGACGATCGATATGGCCACAGATTCTCGACCGGAGGTTGGACGAAGCCGGGGTTCGGGCGTATCGACAGGAGGGTGAACTAAAGGCTGTGGGTGTTCGTGTGCATACTTCTGTCTGAACTTGGCTGGAGTGGTCGGCGTGGCGATAGGGTAGTAGCCCAAATGCCAAACCGCAAGATATTGATTCTAGCCCTTTTCGCGCTTGGTTGCCTGTGGCTAGCTTCCCGGCTCTTTCGATTCACTGGATGTTATTTCAGCTTGTCGAGAACTCCTTGGAGCCACCTCGTTTAGATCAGCACGCAATATATTGCTCGGTAGGTTAGTGTCCAAGCGATAAGATAATGCCATCTAGCACGTATCATCACAATCATCGTCATCGTCATCGTCATCATCACCAGTAGCAGCAGCAAGAGGAACAAGATTTGGCATTAATGCCTTGATCCTGGACTATTCCACCCCTTGCGCCCAAGGAGGTTTGGTTGAAAATGAGCCGATGACCTGCTTGTATCGATCTGGCATGAACAGCGCCGATGACAGGGATGACAACCCTGGGGGGACGTGTTCGTGGCTGCAAAGCCAGAACGGACACGGGCATGAACTTTTGTTGAGAAGCAAAATAACCACTAGACCATTAGTCAGCGCTGACTGGTGGTCTAGTGGTCATGGTGCTTCTCACCACGACCATTCAGAAGCCAGCCGACACCGCATTGTTCACCAACAAGATATCGTGGGCAGTCCATACCGCAATAGCACGTCGCGGTGGTCAAGGATTTGGTAGTCGGGATGTTCAACGAACGATATACATTGTATACCAATGGTTTGATGAATGGCCGCGTCTCGATGGTGGTGATAAACAGACAAGTAGATCGCGATCGACGTAGTTAATGGCGATGTGATGAATTCCCGTGCGGCGTCCGCTCTGCTGGTGGTTGGTCAGCGATGATGGTTCCGATGCGGGGATTGACGACAGTGATGGGAAACTGCGCTCCTGCTGACGTGAACGGGTGAGATTACAAATGAGAGTGGGTCCGTCTTATCGTTGTTTTTTCTCTCTTTTGTGTGTACAAGCAGACGACCGACGAGTTAGGAACGCGGAACAAGACCTCGTGGAATTCAAGGAGCTGCAGCGGATCGTCAGGCCCTACAGTACCTCCAATCAAACTCCTCCAGCGAGGCCCGAAAATGGTGCGCTCTTGCGGTTGCTGATACTGGTATTGTTGTTGCTGTTGTGTGTAGTGCGGAATGTGAACAACAACGAACTTCGTCTTCTGTGGCACTGTGGCGATAGCGTCATCTTCACATCTGTGGCTAGAAAGATAGGTCACGGTGTCTTCTCGATTTGAAGAGTCTATTGCGGATGGCCGGCACCCTGCTCATGTTGCCTTCTGCGTTTTTCGGTTTTGTCGGCAGAACCCGGATGCAAATCAAAAAGTGTGGAAGAGGATTGGTAGGCATGTTGTGTTTCACAGCACGAGCTGTTTCTTGATAGAACTTGAAACTTCTCATTGCCGCACGTCTACCTGCTCGATGAGCTTATGCTGGTGAGTGGTGACACCTCCAAGTGGTTGTAGAATGCGCGGAAATATTCACCAGAACCTCGGTCGAGAGAAAGTTGACAACATCCCAGCGGAGTGACACATTGTGGGGAGGGTACTTGATCGTCATTCCCGGCAGCAACCTCTTTTTGCTTCGTTTGCGTCCCAATGGGTGCCGTTGATATCCACCACGTATCCCGGACCCCTCTTCCCTTCTCCCGCCCCCGCCCTGTTAACAGGTACGCTTTGACACCGAATCGTACAAAGGCGGGCCGCCACTCTACGATTCTTGATCGGCCAGTCTCGGAGGCTCCATCATTTTCGGGTTCGCCCTGGGACGAGCTGTACAACGTTGTGCGGGTACAGCGGTACTTGGAGGGCGATTGCGTGCGTACCCGAATGAAACGACGATTGTATGGACACCTACCCGCCGAAAGTGTGGTGTCCGGTGTCATGAATGTTGAAATACGTGACACCTTTGGAATGACAAGTATGCTGGCGGGAAGTAGGCTGCTATCCCGTGCCTGCCACATCATCGAGAATGGTTTCGATTGCGTGCACACGTCTTGCTTCTCCCGAGAGTGGGAAGGGCGAGTCTGATTGGAAAAGAGTCTCGCATCAAATATACTTTCAAAATCCATGGCATAGAACGCTGTGTGATAGTTGTTTCAGGTAGCTCGGGTTCAAAGCTTGGGGGATGCGGGGGTGGTTGTTTGAAGATTTTGGATCACGTGACTATTCTCGAAGGTCCAAGAGAAACACATACACAGCGGTAGCAGGACCCCACTGCGATCGTGAGCCCCGCTGTCCGCAGGAATGCGCTCATTGTCGGGGCAGCCGCGCTGCTAGTTCTTTTCCTCGTTGTGTGTGGGGAGGTGCGCCCGATGCATGACGCACGGGTGAATGAGTCGCACATTTTTATCAAGGAATAGACACAGGTTGGGAATTTCTGGCCTACACACAACAATGTTCTTTGCTAGAAATCCCTGAGCCCTTGATTCGCAATTGCCTAGGGTAAATGCCCTGTAATTGTGGTTTCTTCTGCACTGGGGGATTCGCGATGAAATAACCTCAGCTAACCCTTCCCTTCCGATGCATGCACACGGGGGCAACCGCTGTAGACGCCAGATGCAGTGTATGACGTCCATCTGACGGATCTTCGTGTATGTTGTACGTCCCTCGTCCCCTATAACGTACCAACCAGGTGAATCGGTAGGTCGGTGGAAGAGACTGTTCCATTGCATACACCACCTCGGGTATCACCCGGAATCTACAGCCCGCAAGCAACACCGTGCAGTTTACATGATTTGTGACTCCTGGCTTAACCGCATATGCCCAAATAGAGGTATTTAATCTCGTGACATCGAGCTCCACCACGAGGTAATGGTGTTAGAATCGCCTAGCGGCTGTCGGTTCATGTATCGCTGAAAAACTGCATAGAACCGTAGGCGTTGCCATTTTTTTGGCGGTGTCACCTGGCATGAGTGAGGAGACGCAATATCTTCGCCAGGAAAATGCGAAGATGGTTCTCGCTGCGCACGCCGCGAATGAATCTGGCAGGCAGACATCAGAGAGAACTTTTGCTGCGCAAGACAAATGCACGTGACAGCAATAGCAAATGACGTCGCCGATACACTACGGTCGATGCCGTTGGGTAATCACAAGTTACCGAGTTCAAAACTTCACGGACGACACCTGTGTCATCAATGTCCACAAAAATAGCCCCCCCCCCTGTAATACTGTTCCCAGAACTCATGGTAAAAGGTCAATTATCCTAACCCTACGGCAGCACACCCGCAAGACAAAGTAAGCGCCCAACGGAAACCATAACTACCAGGCTGTTTCCCGCTACCATGATTCCACAAGTACAGGAATATAAACAGCACCAGGAAATATACCTAAACAAGGAGAGGTGGAATCGAGACCACCGCCAGCCACCAGGCCCATGTATGCCTCGGGGTACAAAAACTACAACAACATACAACAAAATTTCAAGATGGGGATAACTCAAAACAACAAACAACATCAAGAACTGTGTCAACATAGTGCTCATGAGTATAGCCCAACAGTGTCACCCTTTCGCAGAGCACCCCCCCACGTTCCCTATTACAGCACACGCAGCGATTCCATCACACAAGTTCACGCAAAAACAGCAAATAACCCCGCGTACTACAGAGAACACGCCGAATAGACCCCTCACTCTTCCATACTGAAGTGCTACAAGTAACCGACCTACCGCTTTTTTCTTCCCACCAAACGGACCAAAACGATTCCAACAACCCCGACGACGCCTCGTTTAACAAATCACGAACCCTGCACAACATTTTTGCCGGGCATGAACGCTCATCGCGTCCGCCGGTGTCCTAGCCGCCTGCGAAGAATGCCAAGAATGATTCTAGCGCTTGGGCGGAAGTCATTCACGTCCGCCCCGAACATCCTCCCATAGGCCTCGAGCGACTTGCGCTTTGTGGCAATTCCGTTGTCGATGTCACATGGCATATGAAACGAAAACGGACGGTGCGGGACGGTTACATGTTCGAACTTCTTGCCGAGGATTGGCAGTATGAGGGATGTAGCTCCGACATGCAGAGAAAATGATCACGCACTGTACTGGCCCAGTTTAGCCAGCTGATATGAGTGTAGCCAAAGCTCCGTTCATTACAATACAAATTCGATTGGACAGTCGAATTAGCGACAACGGAGAGGGGTACGCTTGAAATATGGTGCTAGTACCTTGTGCTAGGAATCGCCCTGCACAGTCAACGCCAGGTATTTCAAATCTACTTCCTGTCACCCCCCCCTCTCTCTCTCCTCTCGGGAACCCGACAACGATACGCATCGCTTGCCATGGCCGTGGAAGCATTCAAGGGCGTGGCTCAGATGATAAGGGGGGTACGGGGACGGCTGAAGATGCAATAACTTCGCTAGTGGGTCATTACAATTCTCCCCGAAGAAGCGAACTTTCATTCGGCAAGCTTGGTACACAACCCGCCCAGGCCTGGTCACTACATACGGCGTGGTGTGGGCACCGCGATCTTTGTTTCTGCCGAAAGGGGCGCATGTGAAAGGAACGACGCACCACGTTCAATAAATGGCCCAGTGGCTTCGAAACACCACCCTCTCCGCACTCATTACGGTGGGGAATGCCGGGGGCTACTCATCCCTGCCCATCTCATTCGAGCCATGTTGTTCACATATGTATACCTGCATTTCCTCAAGCTGCGCTGGTGGAACCGCCAGCAACGTGCTCATCATGCGCGACTCCACTTCGTCCGGCGTAAACGCGAAAGAAATCGAAGGCCAGTCGATTTGTTCCATGAATGGAGGAACTAGGTCCCGGCCAACGAACACGGGGATCGACCCAGCGCTCATCACTTCCCCGAGTCGGTACGTGGCGGGACCCCGTCCAGCTGGTACCAGCCCGAACGTTGAGTTCATCAGGCTTCGGTAGTCGTAGCCTTCATACTGGTCTTTCAGCGCTTGGCAGAACTCAGCATTCTCTGGAAGTAAGTGCTCTTGGTGCTCCTCGAAGCAGTGCATGGTTACTACCACGCCGTTTTCTTCGTCTTGCAGCGGTAAAAGACTAATCCTTTCCTCCGAACCGTGGCCGCTAATATATAATGTACACTGAAATATAGCGCAATCACAAAGTACAGACTTGGTGAACGGGCGTCGCAGTGAATTGAGACACATTATGTATTACTATTTCAGGTACAAGCAGCATTGCTGGAATCAAACCTCAACGTTTCCGTGCTGCGGTCACGAATAGCAACAGCCTTGACTTGATGATATTGTGGTTGGTCTTTACAGGTCAGGGTGTGAGCCGGAACATATCTGCTTGGGCACGTGTAGGTTGGCCGAATTCCGTAACTCGCGTATGCATATCGTGTGGTACAATTAGGTGAAACGGACGTTATTAGGGTTAGCAAGGACATGCTATGATCGTTGGATGGAGTTCGTCAGTCAGAATCAGAGGTGCATTCATGTACGTATGCGACCGACCCACCGGCTGACTGAAGTCTATTTCCCAATAAGCCTGTACCAAGCAATGTTTTGGGCGGAACGGACTGTTGATCCCCACACGCACGACGCTGGACAATCCCCAGAGAAAACACGAAGGCGACGTGTGCAACAAGTGCAAAAATGGGTGTGCTGAAGGTATTGAGATGGTCACATCGGCTTTCGGTTCACGAACAACAACACCTACCTGCAGCTGCAGTGGCAAGAAAAGAAGCAACAGCAGCTCGAACTACACAACACTGACAGCACCTACCTTTGTTGTTAGGAAGAACTCCCGATCCAGAGGGGAAACGTTGGCCAGATCGTGGAGCACCTGTCTGGGAGCAAGAGGTACTGAAATGTCGTAGCCACTCCTGTAGAAACACGTGTGCATGTTGGTGGCCGCCTCCATGGCAAAACTACCAGCCACGTCGGGTCGCGAAGCCCTGAATGAGGGTTGGCGACAAGAGTGAAAGCGTCACGCGAATGAAGAGCACACATGCAGGAAGGGCCAATTCAGCATAGCGTCATGGAGTTGCGAAATGTCTGCCTTTTGAATCTTTCGAACTTGAGATTTCAGAGAGACCGTCGTTTCAGCTTGAGTTTGGACGGACCGGCGGTGGAAGAAAGTATCAAATGCTTGCTGTGGGCAAACGTCAAATAGTGATAAACCGGATGCATATTAATTTTTCGCGGAAGGTCCACATTGCCGCGCAGAGACGCTCGCCGCACACCGTGATCTGCTCACGTGGCCGAGACTAGGATGAGATAGGAGGTACGCATCTCCGAGAGATTTAGCCTCCTTGTATTGTATTTTTTAGCATCAAAGTGCAGGCATATGGCACACCCTTTAACGTTAACTAAGCGAAAAATACTGGCTGTGCATATCAAAAAGCAACCCTGGACAACCTCTGAGACACCATGTATAAAAAATGACAGGGTTGTTCGCTGAGCGTTTTTTTTCCACGGAGCGGAGCGGTTCGTTACCGCTCCGTGAGGTTTTCCCTTGGGGCAATACCGCTCCGCTCCGTGAGATTTTTGCCCTCGGATAAACCGCTCCGCTCCGTGGGGTTTCGCACAATCGGTTTTTCCACAGAGCGGTTTGAGCTACTCCGTCACACAACCGCGGATAAACCCGCAACACACGGCCACACGCACAGTTGCCACACACACACTCCGTGCACATTAGTCCTTGTGCACGTCTGCCCATCTCTGATGGGGTCGACACCCAACCCTGGCGACCGCCCTTCTGGCGATCGCTCTCCTCGTCGTGCTGGTGCTGGTGTTTCTGCTAACCCCATCTTATTCCCGAAACGAAGTTAGACACTGAGTTGGGGAAGCTGCTGCAGCGCAGTCTGTTGGGAAGGCTAAAGCTGCAACTACTTGCCGAGCCGCTCGTGCGGGAGAGCAAGTGGTTGTCGAGGTCGAATCCGACTGAGCGAAATAGGAAATAGGGGCGTATTTGGTGATACATGAGACGCCTGGTGTTACCGAAGTGCAATTCTCAACGAGAGGCAAATGAGGAGTCATCTGCTGTTGTTGTACGTGTTGCAGGAACGTAGGAGTCGAGGAAGTATCGATGTGGGCAAGTGGTGCTACGAATGTATCAGTGCTGTGAGCGCTGATTTGAAGTGAAGACAAAAAAAATAAAATGCACGTCATCGCTCGCGGGGGGTTGGTGCAATGGTGCAGTGCGGGGGGGGGGGGGGGGGGATAGGTGAAGCAAGAGGTTCATTTCGGCACGATGTTTCGCGCCACTGGTCCGCCTCTTCGCGCTTCCTGCCTTTCCTCGCCGCCTCGTCCGCCTGCTTTACCCCCGTGGTTGTTGCCGCGTACGTGCTGTAGAACATGATAAAATACCGTGCCCACACTATTTGAAAGATAGTTGACGCGGTCATTCCCCGGGGCAAGAGGGAATCAATTGTACTGTACAGTAATCTGCAAATGCTGCATGTACCTGCGATCGTCCTCTCTCATCGTTCTGCAAGTCACACATGCAGCACGTGCCTCTGCCCTACTCTCACCTTCCTTTGTCGGACATGTCGACGAGGAGATGATTGGAGCCGTCATTCCACCGTGGCTGATTTACGGCGCAAGGCCTTTTGAGTCCTTTCCCTACATGCACGAACATGCAGGCTGACGAGTACGTGTCCGCCAGCATCCCCAGCTGCGCCGTTTCGTTTCGCAAGGCCACTGCCGCGTCTTGATCGCCTACCCGAGTCCGGCTGACTTCGTACCCCTGATCTGCGGCAAGCAGCTCACTACTGTCTTGAAGCGAACAATCCCCATCGAAGACGTAAATCCCACCATTCGATAGACACTCCGTAGAATAGGATTGGAAGCAAGGTGGTGACAGAGGCGGTCCGCATTGCATGCCCGTGGAGAAGACGGATTGATCTAGGTCCGAACACCGGTTGGCCTGTGGCCGACCGACCCAAGTATCAGCGCCTTCCACTGCAAGGCTTGGTGGAGACGACGAAGAGCCAGTCTGCAGGAGACGACCAAGTTGTTGGTGTTGCTGTTCCGTACCAACCGCGGAAGAAGCCACGCCGGCCGTGAGTAGGATGGCGAGACTGCAGCACAAATATCCCACCATTTTTTCGTTGGTGCCTTCCGTGTTTCGCTCTCGCTGACTGCTGCTGTGCCCGCGCTGGCTGTGCCGTGTGTACCACGGGGTGCGACACCAGAACGGCTTTCCCCCTCTCCTGTGTACATCACCCCGAATTGATTGGCGGTGAGAACGTGCGTCAAAGAAACTCCGCTATCGCGGAAGAGCAGAAAAAAAAAATGCCGTTTGGTTGATGCTGCCGGCAAAGGAAACCTCAGCCCCCAAAGTACACACACCGCAGAGGGCTGTGCTGAAGGCGACTGCTGTCGATCGACCTGCAGCAGCCGAAGCACGTTGGCGAATTGCGCCGACAATACGTGCCTCATCAGAAGGCGGAAAAGTTGAGACCAGCTGCTTCCAGCTCCGTTCAACTAAAAGCAAAAACCCTGCGTTACGCCGGGATTCGAACCCCTGACCTGACGCTAGAAGGTTCCGAGGATACCAACTAGACCACCGGGGCGACCGGATGGACGTACCCAACCAAGCTGTCCAAGCTGCTACAGACCGTGACGCCATTTGCTCGTTTCGCCTCGATTCCAGGCCAAACGAGCCCCCAGGACCACACACCGCTCATGCTACCCGCCTCAGAACGCGACGCAAGGGGTGATACCCCGCGGTGTTGGGGCACGAGACACGCTGGAGCCCGGATTTTGTTTGTTCCGGCAAGAAGACCGTTGGTTTAAAAAACGCAAAGGCGAGCTTTTATTGCAAAGTGAGTTTGTCTCTCGCTTCCGCTTCTGGCCGATAGTGGATAGCGCTAGTAGTTCGTGTGTACACAGACAGAGGGAAGAGAGTGCCGAACTCTTCTCGCGTTAGAAATCCAAGGCAAAGTACCGCAGGAGGGGAGGGTAGAGAGGGGCTCTTCTGTGTGACCACGGGTCGGAGTAAACGGCACTAAAGTTCGTAGTGCTGTGAGCGCTGATTTGAAGTGAAGACCAAAAAAAAAAAAAACGTCATCATCATCATGTTGTGGATGCACAGGGGGTGCGGGGAATCTTCTCCGTCTCTGCCGCATTCAAGAGCTGGCAGCGAGGCCTCGAGTGCTCCGTGGATGGAGGCCAGACTGCTCTCCGTTGGCAAGCTGAAGTGGTGCTGGGCTGGGCTTTTACTGCACGATGTAGGTCGCTTTGGCTATTTCCCCGACATGTCCACAGGCGAAACGGATTTCTCTCCCTGCTGCCTGTTTCGACAAGCGCTCGCAGGTGATTTTTTTTCGGTGCGGACAGCAGTTTGCATACAACATTGACATTGTATTCCACACTAATTTCAGTATAGTCTAATAACCCAACCGACAACAACGAACAACGAATCTGGTCTGTATGGGCAATTGCTGTAAACGGAATGCAAGCCCATGTATCGATCCCATAGCATACCCTTGGATCGATGTGTAGTCGACCACGTTCGGCCGTCCTTTGCTCGTCGATCGAGCAGCAGCAGATCCAGCCTCTGCTTCCTCGCTGGTGCGTGCAGAAGTTGGTCCGCGGTTTTTTTCTTCAGTTCTGCACGGCTGAAAAAAAAAAGATGGCGGCGGAACAAAAAATATCGGTTTACACAGAAGAGCAGCGTGACCGGCGTACATCCACCCAAGGCTAAAGGTTTACAGCAGTAGACTATTCCAATAGCTATCTAGGGAACCAAGATTTGCCGAATTCCGTCAACTGTAGGCTTCAAACTTGTCGGCGCAACCCGCAGCCCCTCCCCCTCCAAGCTCCCCTAAATAAATGTGAGACTCGTACATACGGGGCGCAACCACGCTGCTTTGCACCCGCCAAAGAGACCAAGCACGAGAACGCGCCCACCACAGCATCAATCGCCACTAAAATTTGAGGGAAGGTGAACTGAGTGGCAGAGAGTATATTGCACAAGCGTTGAACTTTATTAGTGCCGAGGATCGAGAGGTAGACACGGATGAAGTTCAAAATTTGCGTTCGCATACAGGCACAATGCTTATCTTTTGCCACGCTGCCGGCAACATCGAGCATTGGAAATGTTAGCTACTGATCTTGTGGTTGTACAGCACTTGGAATTATGCTGCAAGATGAACTACAGATGGAGTAATCTTGAATGGCGTCGGCTAGATTTGAACTGAAATTGCTGTTGGGGTCCCCCCCTCTCCTGCTGCCTGCTGCTGCTGTGTTCCACCGCACACACTTACTTGTGCCTGTTGACTCGGGACCCTCACCCAGCAGCTCTCTCTCCTGAATCCCGAAGAAAAAAATATGAGAATGACGGAGAAGTAACAGTTACACGGCAGCTACACTAACAGTGAGTTTAGTCTCTAATAACGTTGTGCTATCTGTGTCGCACGCAGGAAACGGGCAGCCCACCTACACTCGCACTCAAGTATGGAATACGCACATAGCACTACGCACTTATAACATTGGGTGTGTCGAAAACGCGAGGAATTACTTACTACACACGAACACTGCACGCAACTCCGGGTCCCCCGAGTTGCCCATCCGACCCATCAAACACCGAGGGCTGCTCTTCTTGCCGCACAAGTTTAATTGCACAGATAGACGTCAAGCTGGAGCAAGCTAATCGGTAAAATTAGACCATCCGGCTAGTCAGCTAGCTCTGAGCTCGTTAGTACCCGGCCGGATCACATGGGCTTGAGGCTATTTGCTGCTTACTCGTTGAGAGTAAGTAGAGATCTCCGGGGACGGACCCCTCGCCAAACGCGGTTGCTCAGTCAATGGTAATTCTACGCAAAGAAAGGTGATCCAGCCGGTATTCGAACTTCGTGCGGGAATCCTCTAATCGCGGAACTAGACCATCCGGCTAGTCAGCTAGTCACCTGATTTTACCGATTACAAGCAAGTACGTGGGAGCGAGCGTGAGCTCGGAAATAATTCGACCCTCTCTGCAACAATAATAACACGAGCAAGCACGAGAGCGGGCAGCAGCTGCCTCCGGTGTTGATCGCCCACTTGGCTCAGGAAAGCACTGAGTTCACAACAAGAAATAAGCCCACTCGAGGCGTGAACATCTACTGCCAACCCACTTACTATGTGGCAACACCAAGATGATACAAGTTCGTCACAAAATATCATGCCCGAATGATACAACAAAGAACTAATTCACGGTCAGTATAAACGGCACAGGGTCTACGCGCCCTCGTCCCGATAGGTTTCAGGCACTTTGCCGAACACGAAGAAGAAAACACTATTCCAATAAGCCACGGACATCCAGCCTGGCTGAAACTACAAAAGCGTCTCCCGTCCGTCTCCCTGCGCACCTACAGTACGAAAAATGGTCGCGAAAATGCGTACTCTAGCCGGCTGTTCTACGGCTTCTGCTCCTGTGTCTGATAATCTGCCACCGCTGGTCGTCCTATTTGCCCGATGCATCCAACGGAAGGCAAGTGAAGCACGGACCTGTTGAATCACCAAGAACGACGGGCAAAATGTGAAATTGAAACATGGGTCAGAAAAATCATATCACACGAACGAGAAAGGCAGCGCCGGTGTTAGATCTTTTGTTGCGATATGGAGATCTGACGTGCAAGAAGAATGCTCGTCACGACATCCTCAACCCCAAGCCAAGACCCTTCAAAGATTGCTACATGCACCTGCCTGAAGAAGTAGCCAAATCTCAGTTCCAGGCGTCGTGAACGACATCCGCAACACCATCATCTGTGTCTCCGTCACTCTACACCACGCCCTTCTCGCTCAACCCGTCAGATTCCCACTGCTGGAGCCAGATTCACCCGAATTCCACTTCGTAAAAAATCCTCGAGTACACCGACCGAACCGTCGCCGTTTTCGTCCGACTCGGGGTCCTCCAGCTCTACGTTCTTCGATTCCGCGGCGTCGCCGGAGGAAATGCCGTTGCTCGCAGGTGACTCGGGGGTCCCTGCCTGCACGTCGTTCTGTTCCACTCCACGCGATTCCTGCTGCTTCCTCAAGGCGAGATAGAGTGCGAAGGCATTGGCAACACGCGAGGATGGCTGTGGTTGAATCTGGACGGGTGGTTGGGGTCGGGCGGTATCCTCGATCGGCCCAGTTTGAGGAGCACCCACCGTAGGCCGGGACGCAGACTCCCCCCTGTTCGCACGGATGCCGACGGCACCCGACGTAGGGTGCAACGACTTCTGCAGCCGCAATCAAGCGAGCACTTGCTGTTCTTGCACCTGCACCTGTTGCATAGGGCCGTCTCCGGATTGCAACCGCACGCCAGCGTGACTGTCTTTCTGTCAGGGTCGATGTAAGAATACTCGGACAGCCAAAGCACGCGATTCTCTGCTGTAAGTTTGTCCGACTCGCTCCCCTTTCCTCGTGGGTCGACGCCCCATCCTTTGTCGGCCACCTCTGTCGCCGGCATAATCTCCCTCAGGTCATTCAAGCAGTACGGGAAGATGGCGTTACCCCGTTCTCCCTGCTTGCGCAAGGAAAAACAAGACGGACAGTTGGTTGTCGTCTTGTTCTTAGGGA